ACTAGGAAATATGAAGTCGATCTCCTGCCCTACAGATATGGAAACTGCAGCTAGTAAGGGCTCGGTTACATTTAATATTGCTTTTCTGAAAAGAAAATGTGGCAGCAAAAAGTTCCACGAACAACCACAGCTGAGCCACAGCTTCCTCTGCCTTGTGTCAGTGAGCAGCACGGTAGGTAAGAGAGTGACAGAGGTGTCCGGAGGAAGCCCTCCGGTTGGGGCATTCCCACTGAGACAGGCTGGGTGTGGGGACAGAGGCTGAGCTGAACGAATCCTGTTTTGGGACCGCAGCCTAAAGAGGCACAATTAAATTTTAACAAAGCATTTTGAAAAGTGAGGTTAGAGCTTTGAAATGTCCATCCCACAGCTGTTTCTAGTTTATTTCTTGTTATTGAGCCCGATCTAAAGTCTGATAAATAATAACTCCAGGAAAGTAGAAAGAAGAATTTGCTCAGGGCTTTAAATCTTTCCCACATTTACCGTTTCTCTGCCTTTACCATTTGTTAGCTGACAGAGCACCGAATTACAGTCTTCGGCTATGAAACATCAATTATGTAACAATTTGTCTGAAAACAAAAGGATTCACTTACATAAACCCTGCCTGCCAATGAAAGAGAAATTAAGACAGGCACATTTAATTGGGGTTTTTTTTCATGTATTTTGTTCTGTACAGCACACAGCACGGAACTTGTCCCCAGTCCTATCCATTTGAACTCCTTCCTGGTAAAACCCAGCTTAGTTCTCATGCTAGTTTAAGGAGGTTTTGCTCCTGCACTTTTTTTCCTCCTTTGTGCCATAAAAAATAATGATATCATTTTGATGTTTCACTCCCTGGATAGTTTTAGCAGCTCCAACTTTGAGGAAAACAACAACAAAAAACCCAAAAAGAGTAACTATAAAAAAACAAAACAGGTGCAGTCCTTCTTTCAGTGGGATTTAAGTAGAATAAAATCCAGTTTATCAAGGAGATTAAGCACCATAATTGCGGTGCTATGTTTTTACATTCCCATAGACTTTCTCAGAAGAACTGGCTACTTCCAACCCTTATAGACACCTGATGAATAAACACGGTTAATCCCTCATCCCCTTGGCAACCCTGGGACAAGGACAGACTGGTTTTGCTGTAAGCTGATTTTTTTTCCCGAAGTTCAGTTTTCTGACAGACTTGGTGTGCAGCTCACAGTTGTGTGCAGATATTTGTCCCCCCCTCCCTTGACTTTGAGGCTCCCCCTTTCCCATAGCCCTGCAGCTGTGCCGGCCGTGCCGTGTCCTTCCCTGCTGTCTCTGCCCCACTGAAGCCAGCCCTCCTCGGACACCAGGCGGGTCATTGCCTGTGCAATGAGCAGAGCAGCTCTCACCGGCTCCACGCGTGCTGTGCCTTACCGAGAATGCAGCTGCCCTCCGTCTTGAGGGTGTTTGGCACCGATGACCTTTCCAGCCCCGCTAACAGCGACGCCGCCTTCTCACTCCTTTGGCTGATCTTCAGCCCTTTGTGGAAATTAGCCCATTTGAGCAATACCGTGGCAAATCGCCATGGCGTTGTGAAGTGAGCTCAGGTCTGGGTGATCTGAAGGGATGTGTCGGTGCAATGCTGTTTCCAGGCATTCTCAGTCGTATTGAAGTTAGCACTGAGGAAGCAGTTTCCAGGGGCTGTGCTGAGGGAGCTTGTCATCCCCCACGCTTTTGTGCGCAGCCCTAACTAGCTGCATCTTTTAAGTAACGTCCTGGTTATTTTATTTGGAAATTTCATTTTTTTATCTGCTACAAGTTTCCCGTATTTCTGTAGTTGTTTAATTGCCCCTCTGACAGAGAAGTTCCTTACAATCCCTGAGAACCAGTAATACAAGTTTCAGAGCCCCTCGACCCGTTATTTCCTCCAGCAGTCAGTACGACACACAGATTTATTTCAGTAATAGCAAAGTCGGCTGAGGTTTTGTTTTACTTTATTTCAAATGACTGTCAGACACAACACCCACGTCTCCACCCATACCCATCGTGTGCTTTGGGTGAAGAACAAAGCAATACACTGCCCGACAAGCAAAAATCCATAGGAATTGTACCAGGAATACATGGAAAAACTCTTGAATAGAATAGAATATGTGAGTAAATAAAGCTTTTCTACACTCTGCAACAAGATCATTTCTCCAGAGAAACACTTTTCTAAGACACAAGAGGTAACATATACCAACATACACAAATTCATGCAGCTACACAGCACTCTTTCCTACTGTAATTAGATTTTTTTTTCTTAAGGGGGTGAAATTCAGTGAAGGTTTTAGATTTCAAAACTCCACAGCTTATAGCGAGGTGCAAGTGGCAGATTGTTCAGAGATTAAAAATAAACAACTCCCACCTCATATTCCAGTGCACCGTTCTCCTGCTCACCAGTAATTACATATTGTACATCTAGAACGTGGTTACATAAATTGCAATTAGGACGATGCTGATGAGATCAGAGGGAAATAAAATTAATTAGAATGCAATGAATGCAGCTGTTTGGTTATACTCCCACTCTGCCCACCTATCCTGTACTGAACCATTTTCTGTCTCTGGTTCCAATGCTGGTGGCAGAGGAATGCCCGAACAGCTGAAATGGAGCCGTATCTCACATGTGTGTTGGCGTTAGCGCTCAGCTATATCCCGGCACAATTCTGCTTTCACCATCCATCTCACAAAAAAATAAAAATAAAAATTAGGTTTTACAATTTACTTTTACAGTCGTGGGTTTCTCACCTTTCATTTATCAAAGCAAAGGCATTTTCAGACACTAACATTCAGGTGCAGGCTGAAAAATCAGGAGCCTCAAGACTGAAAAATGAAAAATGAGAGGAAAAGAAACTTGTGATTAAAGTCCTGATGATGATTTTTGGTCGACTCAGAGGTGTTAAATCTGTGAGACTGCCTTCACCAAACACTCTGTGGTTGCAATTCAGGTTGACATTTGTCAGTTAGAAGTCATTTTGGGGATCTGAAGGGCCAGCAGTTAAAGTAATACTAAATTTAAGAAGCAATGGGTCTTTCTTTAAAATGTTTGGGCAAATGATCATGCCTGAAAAATCAAGGAGTCTTCATGCAAGATTTTTTCACCACTGTGATCTGAATCATGTGCTATCTTTGTATTTTTTATTCCAGAGCAAGTCCTTCCCCTGTGCTGCGCTAGGATGGAGAAGAGCTTGCAGCAAGCCAAGCAAAGTTTAGCTGTGTGAGTGCATCAGCCCTAGGGCTGGCATCCTAATGAGGACAAGAGCTCTGCTCTCATACAAAGAGGTCTAGTTCCCCCTCCAGTCTGTTCAAAATATTGTTCATTGCTTCCAGCACAGCGCTGCTGCAGACCCTGCTCCCTCCTCCCAGCATCCAACACCGAGGAGAGGAAGTACCTGTCGGGGTGCTGCGCGTTTTGCAATGTGACTGTGCAGCACGGGGACCTCTGCCGCTTAATTACGACCGTTGCCACCTTTCCCCCTCTTCACCCCTCGCCCTCAGCCCGTGTGCCTCGTGGAGCGGTGCCGAACACCCGAGGGCTGCACAGCCTCTGCCCTCTCATGCCTCAGCCTGGCATCGCTGGGCAGGACAGGGCAGGGCCTGGCAAGCTTCCACGGCTGGCAGCGGGCACCGGGCCCTTCCAGCTGCCCCCCACTGTTCCCCATACCTCACTAGCCTCTCTCAGCTGCTCTCTGTTTCAGATCGCTAAGCCAGGGGCTGTCCGGAGGGAACCCGTTGTAAGGGTGTTGTAGGGGTGCTGAATGCACCGTGCTCACACCGAGTCCCACAGTGCAGTGGCGGGCGCCATCTTGGCGGTGTGTGCCCATGAACGGGCAGTGAGCACGGCAGTGGGCCAGGGCATCTCCTCACCCTGACAGGCGCTGCTTGTTCCACACAGCAGCCACCTCAACTCTGGGCTAGGCTTAGGCAAGAGCTGTAAAAAATGCACATTTACTGGAATGAAAAGTGTTTCTGCTGACCACAGCAGTTGCTCCTCGTGCTGAGATGACAGGTGCCAGTCAGCAAGGTGACAAGGACAGGGCAGGCAGGTCGCGGTGATACGTCCCTGCGGTGCCACAGTTCTGCTGGGGTGGGACGCAGAGGGTGGAAACCTTCCAGCACTGCTGCATCTTGGCAGGGCAAGGGGAAAAAAATTACGTAACAAAATCTTTTGTTTTGTTTTCCAGGAGAAGACTGCCCCCAGCCCATCTCTACATGAAATTCGGGCAGAGAATGCAAGCTGAGTGAAGGAGAGAAGTCACCTTTCCACAGAGGAAACAACGGCACACTGAGCACTCGTGGTGCTCAGGGAACATCCCCTCAGCTTTGTTGGTCTCCCATGCCCATGTGCTTGTTGGAATCGCAGTGCCTGGCGTGAGAAGTCTGGGTGCAATGCCATGAGCTGGTCAGTTCCCCCTTATTTACTCAGTTATGCTCAGTAGCGCTGCAGAGCAGCTAAGGCACAGGGAAAACAAAGTTGTTTTCTGTTGTTTCTGTTTCAGCCTGGGCAGGGCTAGACTGCAGCAAGTCTTGACAACTCTCCTTGTTCAAACACAAGTCTTTTTGCTTTAATTAAGTTAAGCTAGGAAAAGCGTTAAAAATGTGAAACTGTTAATGAGAATGAATCTATGCTCTAGTTTCGCTCTTCACTGATCCCATATTACTCCCAAATTGGAATGTTTCTTCTGTTAAATGCTTTACATTTAGAGAGAGGAAAGGATACTGAGGGTCTTGGCCCCATCTTCCCATTCGGAGGACTGCTGTAATACACAAATCAAAGTCCTATGCTAATATTCGACTTAATTAACTATAGGAATTCAGCAGGCAGCTTATAAGGCAGTAATCTGAACACCAGGCAGCTGCACCTGTGAGCAGCACCACAGAGGCAAAGCGAGGGTACTCATCATCACTGATACATGTCCACTTATGTAGGTATTAGATGGGAAATGCTAGGGGTTCTTAGTGTCACTCTTTCCTGAAGAGTAGCAGATCCATACATACAGAGATGAAGATAGATGTGCAATCTGATTGATTTTATTGAGTAATAGTCTGAGAGCTACATTCGTGAATTAGAAGAAAAACAAAACAAAACAAAACCACAAAAACCATTCCCCTCAAAAAAAAAAAAATCCAAATATCCCCATATTTTGGGAAACAAGCTGAAGAAAACATTCTACACTGTAGAAGACAGCTGTATCTGCTGATATCCATGTTCTGACATCGGAACTGAGCGGCTGCAGCTCTGCAGCGTGGAGTCCTAAAGCCTCAACCAAAAGAGGCTTAATAGTAACAACATGGATATATTCACCACCGGGAAGATGTTAACATGTTAACAAAGACTCTGGGATACCAATCTGGTATAATCAGCAACATACTGGGTTCCTGTGAAAGATGTGGCATTTGCTCCTTAACATCAACTTTTAGAGAACTTTGAAAAACAAGGTTTAAAACTGCTTACAGTACACCTTTCCTTGCAGAAAAGCACAAAAATCAGAGTTCAATAAAAACTGAATAGATGATCACTCTTTTGACTGGATTTGATTAGTTGCATAACTTTGGCAAGATTATCACAGTGTGATCCAATTAAACTTTCAGGATTGTACGAACACCGGCACCACATGAATCTCAGAATTAGACAGCTGAGCTCCTCATGCACTCCTGCGCATCTCTGACACTCCGCAGCCTCTCCCCATCCCTCTCAGTCAGCATTCTGTCCTTACACGGTACTATGTTACCCCACTGACAAAGCAATGCCATGCAGACAGCCTCCTGGCTCTGCTCCCCCTGCAGGGACAGCGTGTCACCTTGTCCAACCCCAGGGATGCAAGCGGGGATAATTCTACATAAAGTCTCCCTTTGTGGCATCTGAAATAAAAACCTTTTCCCCAGAACTGCCACTGTTTTGATAGTGAATTCCACGCTGAGTTGTACAACTGGTTACTCAGTTCTTTGGCTGATTTTAAGAATTGCATTTAAAAGTTACTCTACGTTAGAGGCATTTAGAAAAGACATTTATACCTGGTACCGGTACTCTTTCAAGTACTCTTTTAGCCTTGTTGGCAACGGCAGCTCCCAGATCTGGTTCGTACATTTGTTTATAGTTATTCTGCAGCGATGTTGCAGAGACGGGGCTGACGTGTACAGGGGTTTGTTCAAGTAGAGGTGGACCGTCCCATTCGAAGGCGTTTCGGTTCTGTCCTTGCACATCAGAACGTAGTACTCGATCAAGTGCACGACGCTGTTGAACTGCTTGAGCCTCGATCTGACGCAGGTGATGGAGTCCAGCCTGAACTTGCCGTCCTGGTACTCGATGCGCAGGTTGGTCGGTCCCGCCGAGGTTTTGACCGAGATGGTCAGCAGATACTCGGAATGCGAACTGTCCCTAACCAAAAAAGTCCCTTCGGGGGCATCCTGCAACCTCTCCTTGGCTTCGGCAACGCTCATGTTGCCCCAGTACCACCCTGGTAAAGGAGGGGAGAAAGCACAGATCGATTTGCTGCTGGCTGTCTGTTTAACAGCCTGCTCCTTGCCCGACAGATCTGCACTAACCCACTTCTTGCGCTGCTCGCAAGCTGGAGTCCTGCAGGCATCGTAAAGTTTTATTTGCCATAGAAAATAATTTGCCTTACGACGCGTTTCCTTTTATTGCGCCCCTCGGGCCGGCGGCTGTTGCCAGACAGTGCGTGCACGACCCCCGGACCCCCCCCCCCCGCGTCCCGTGGAGTCGCTCCGTTCGGCGACACGCGGGAACGGCCCCGCACCGCGTGGCCGCGATGCCCGAGCGGCTCCTCCTGGGGAGAGGGGAGCGAGAGGGCGGATCGCAGGGGCGCTCCCGTCCCGCACCGCGCACCCCTCGGGGCGGCGGGCATGGCTCCGGGGATGCCGCCGCTGTCCGCTCCCCGTCGCCGGACCGCCCGGCGATCCGGGCTCCCGCCGGGGCGCGGCGCTGCCGCCGCTTTCGCTTCTGGCGCTCGGAGCCGCCTCCGCGGGGCCGCCGCCGCGCAGCGCCCCGCGCACGCCCGCCGCTCCCGGCGGCACCTCCGTTCTCCCCTAGCCGCCCCGCTTACCTGCGCGCCGCAGCTCCTCCATGGCCGCCACCAGCTGAGCCGCCTCCCGGCACTCCTCTGCGGCGGGCGCGGCCGCCTCCGCCGCCTCGGGGCTCCCCCAGCGCGGCCCGGCGCTCCCCGCGCTCCGCAGGGACTCGGCGGAGCGCAGGGTCATGGGGGGCGGCGGCGGGTCGGGGACTCAGCGCCGCGCCGGGGGCATGGCCCCGGCCCCGCGGCCGCCGCCGCCTGTGAGCGGAGAAAAGAGCGGTTATAGCGCTGGAGGCGCACCCGGAGCGGTTCCGCGCGGCGCTTCGGGACCGCCCCGCGTTCATAGAGGGACCGGGGAGAGCGGGGTCTCGGCCTGGGCAGTGCCGAGGGTGGGGGGGATAGGGTGCTCACGCGGGTCTGCGCCCGGAGACCGCCCCGGATTGAGGCGACGCCGGGCACGGTGAGACCTCGAGGAACGGGACTGGGAGAGGCGCGGGGCAGCGCTCGGCGGCTCCCGAACACGCGAGTCGCGGCGCGCCGGGGGCGGGGACGCGGCGCTTTCCCCGTTCCATTAAATTGGGATATCGTAAAAGAAAAATCGCCTTCCCGTCCGCCCGGCTGCGGGGACGGAAAAGTCGCGAGCGACCGCTGCACCTCTGTCACCTCGCGGCCGAGCCGGGGCCGGGCGGTGCCGGCGGGGAGAGGGCGGCGGGTGCTGCGGGGGCTGCGGTGCAGAGCGCAGTGGATCCCTCCCGCCGCACGGCCCGCGGCGAAGCTCCGAAAGTTTTCCCGGAGCTGACTTCGCGGCGCCCGGCACTCGCAGGTGTCGCGGGGCCGCAGGCGCAGGTGGGGAACCTCGGGAAGGAGACGCGAAGGGGACGGAGCGGTCGCGAGCCCCCCCCCGCCCCGCGCCCGCTGTCGAGGAACGCGCGGCCCCGCGGCGGGCGCTCGGGGTCGGCACTCACCCGGGCTCGGCGGGACGGGGCCGCCCGCGGGCGGGGCGCGGCTCTCGCTCGGCTCCCGGCGGCGTCAGGGGGCCGGCGGCATGGCGGGGCGCGGCGGTGCGGGCTGTGCGGGCGCACGGCGGAGCGCACTCCCTCCCGCAGCCGGACGGACACAGACAGAGAGGCGGGCGGCTACCGCCGCGAAAGGAGGAGGAGGAGGAGGAGGAGGAGGAGGAGGAGGAAGAGGAGGAGGATCGCGCTCCGGGGGAAGCACCCCCCGCCCGCCCCCTTCCCCGGGAGCGGGCAGGAGCGAGCGCTCCGCGCGCCTTTGATGAGGAGGCGCGGGCATCCTCCCCCCGCCCGGCTCCATACAAAGGCCGCTTTCCAGGAACTTTCCAGGAACCGCATCATGTGACAGGACCCGCTCCGAGCCGCACCGCTCCCGGGCCGCGCCGCTCCGCCGCATCGCCGCGCAACCCCCCTCTCCGCACGGGCCGCCGCTTCGCACCGCGCCGCACAGATCGCGCGGAGACGCAAGGCCGCCGCCACCGCAGGTCAGCGCCCGCCGGGGAGGGCGAGGGGGGGGGGAGGCGGGCAGCAGGAGCTCCGCGGCCGCGGCACCTGAGAGCGAGTGGGGGGGGCGCGGCCTCGGGGCAGGGAGAACCCGGAGGGGGGCGGGGGAGGGGGGCGGTGCGGGCGCGGTGCCGCGGAGCGGCCGCGCGGTGCGAGGTGCGGGGGGGTCTGACGGGGAAACAAAAGGGAGCAAAGAGACAGCTGACGCGGCTGTGCCGGGCTCGTCCCTGGCGAAGGGTGGGGATCGCCCTCAAATTAACCGCGGTGTTGGGAAGGAGATAATTTTCGGGTCTGAAAAAGGATGGAATCGGGGTTGCATTGGGCCGTTAGGTTTGCTATAGGCCGGTATCGGTCACAGCAAAATCAGATCTACTAATAGCACGTGTATGTGTGGTGGTCTGGTGGGGGGGGAGGGGAAGGGTGTGCAGAGGACCCTTCGTCGGCGGAACGCGGCGCAGAAGGCCGCGGCCGGGACGCCCCGACGGTGCGCGGGGGCTCCGCTGAGCCCCAACCGGGGGCCGCGCCGTCCCTACGCCGGGAACTGAGCTCCGGCAACGCCGGGATCGGGGGGAGCCGCTTCAAGCTGTTCAGGAGTTTTAAAAGCGCTTCTGCAGGGTGTGAGCGAGGAGCGTCGGGGTTAATCATTCTCCCTTAAAAAAAAAAAAAAGAAAGAAAGAAAGAAAATAATAAAAATTAGCCACAAGCGGTGCGTTTAGTAATTAAAGCGATTCGTGTGAAAGAATAACGGTTGTTAAGCGAGGTGGTCGGCGTGGCTCCGCGTGTGTGCGATGTGCGGGCACTTCACTCGTTGGGCTTTTCGGAAAGGCGGCCGTGCCGTACGCGCTGCCCGCGGACCGTCGGTGCCCCTCCGGTCCCCCGCCTCGGCCGCGCTCCCAGCTGTGCTCGAGGGTGGGCGAGTGGGGAGGCGGCGGGAGGGGGGGCAGCCTGTGCAGAGCCCGACTTACTGCTTCACATCGGCTGCAGTACGTCCAGAAAACTACATTTAAAAAAACAAGAAAGCAATATTCTCCGTTCTTCTTCCTAAAATAATTCCCTATACGCAGATACAGAGCTTTTGCTCACGATTATATTGTTCGGCTACGAGGTATATTTTTGCAGTGATATATATTTTGCGACGCTACTTATTTTTGCTGCGGTATCTATATTATGATTATAGCATTGCAGTCGGAGCTCTCCCCTTGCCGTTCAGGAGCTCCCCGTGGGGCGGTGCATCCCGCCCCGAGCCGGAGCTGTGCTGTGCCGCTTTGCCGCACTTCCGTCCCCCCGCGTTATTTGTCGGCGGCACTTTTAGGAGCACCGCTTCTCAGCGCTCCCCTCCCCGCCGCCGCCGCTCTCTCGGCCGCTCGGAGCCGTACGGGAACCGCTCCCGAAGAGCGGAGGGGAGCGCCGCGATTCATGAGCCGGGGGCGGAACGGGAACGACGGAATGCAATGAACGGGCGTTGCTACCGGCTCCGGCCATTGTTACGAGAAAAGCTGCGATAAAACTCCAGCGGGGGCTTTTCTCAACGTGTTCGCGTTCAACTTTTCACGAGAAGTCAATGTTGTTTAAAAGCAGCGCTGAAGGTCCGAGGCAGCGACGTGACCGCGGCGTTCCCTCTCGGAGCGGAGCGGTGCGGGGACGCTCGGTGGGACCCCCCCGGGCGGGGCGGGGGACAGGAGGGACCTCGGGCTCCGCTCCTCGCAGCCCCCCCACCCCCATCCCGCCTCGGGGTGAGACTCCTGCACGGTCACAGGGAGGAAAAAACCATTCGGTGGTGGAAGAAAAGGCGATTAAATTAAATTACTTTGGGGATTACGGGCCACATGCGGTGTATTAAAGTACTTTAAGCTACTTTGTAGCTTCTTTGGTATTAGGGCGTTTAATACGGGCTCGGTCGGTCTGCACGAGTGCTTTGCTGGATGAGAAAGTGCGTGGTGGGAGAGAGATGGGATGCAGAGGAAAAGCAGACGGGAGACGCACAGAAATCTTGGGCTCTGAGAGCTTTGCTTTGCTCCATGTAAACAAAATCCGGCTTTAATTTGCCGTGCTATAAACAATAATTTTCTAATCGGGGTTACTGATACGAAAGGAAAATGACCGTCTGTAAGCAGGGATCTGAAATGGGCAATGCTGCCCGGGCAGCGTGCTTTATATATTGCCGGTGAGGCTCGGGGACAGCCGCTGCCAACACCCGGCATGCAGTGTCCGGCCGGGACGAGGGCACAAACGTCGGAGGTTTGAGGCTGAGGAATGAGAAAGTTCGATTCCTTTCCCAGATCTTTTCCCCTGCACACGAGCAGTTCAGTCGGGCAGTGCGTCGGCCGTCGGTAGACGTGTGAGATGGAGGTTCGGATCCGCAGCAGAGTGGGGAGCTCCTGGAATCATGGAGCGTGTGTCGCATTTCTCACTTGGTTCTGGATGTACCCAGAGAGGAACGTTGGCGAGTGCGGGGGGTAGGGGGGGGGGGGAACGGGACGAGGAGGTTCCCTGCTTATTTTTCCCTGAGGCAAATATCCCTTCCATGATCGAGGGAAGATGCAGCAATGTTTTTGCAGTGGTGTGAAGTGTGGCTGTTGCTAGAAATGCTTCTCACTTTGTTCCTGAAAAGTGTGCCAGATGCACTGGAGAGCTCGCACCGCTTTATTTATGTAATGCGATGTGAGGAGGAACGGGGGGAGTTCTCCGTCCCTGGTGCAGCCGATTTGGCTAAATTTGCAGTGCTGTGCTGCAAAAGTTACGTGCTCATTTATCTCACTGGCCAGAACAGAGGGGCCTCTCCTTGCTGCTGCATCCCTGCTCCCCGAGGATGCTGCTCAGAAAGCCCACTGCCCTCAGCGTGCCCTGTGCTCAGCTCAACCTGCGTTAGCCAAAGGGCTGGGGGCTTCGTGTCCCACGCTAAGGGATCAACCACGCACTGCTGGGCTCATACAGATTGCAGCAGGAGCTCCCTGCTCTGCCACATCCCGGCCCCAGGCACAGAGATGGGAGCATGGAGCCCTCACTGTGAGCAAATGAGGGTGAGTTAATGGGGTGCACCCCGCGGGCAGGGGCTGGGGAACTTCTCGCCCTGCAGTCAGGTTTTAGCTTCTGTTACAAAGAGCTCCTAAAACATAATAAATAGAGAGAAAACAAGCGTTTCCCTAAGTGGGACCACGCTGCTCTTCCCAGCTGCCCGAGAAACAGAATGTTTTGACAAAATCAATGATGATGTATACGAAACAATTTTACTCTTAACCAGCTGCCACCTTATTTCCTGCCATGTTGATCTGTTCAGACACAAACACTTTTTCTTCCTTAAGAATATATATTTGCTCGAGGAGAGATATCAAAAACTGGGTGAATAATTCCTACGATCCAGTGCTGTCCTGAGAGAAAGCAGCATTCGGAATCAGAAAGCAAACAGTGTGGAGACAGTGCTGGGTCCTGCTGCTTTCCCCCGGAAAGGGCTGGTCGGTCCCCCTGCCCTCGCTGTACATGCAGCACATGGCAGGCACAGAGCTCGGCCCCTGGGAAGGGGCATCGGGACCCTCTGCCCCTCTCCCCGTGTGCCCTCTCCTCTGTAGAAATTCCTGGTGGCACACAGAGGCCTCTGCTGCACCGAGCGAGATTCACACACTCTTGGGAGCTTTAATTAGAACCATGCTGCATGCAGTACTTATATAGCTTCTCCAATTTATTATTTATGATTTAAAGCAAAGACAAAACAACATGAAAATATTTGCTTGTTAAGGAAAAAAGACATGTGGTGGCATAGGGCAATAAGCATTTTAAAAAAATAATAAATAAGAGAATTTCCATAGCAGTGCCCACCTGGTGCAGTACCTGGCAGTGCCTACCTGGTGTGTAGGGTCGCAGTGTGCTCAGAGCCCCATCTGCTGGGTCACTGCCATCACATGGAGGTGCCGCGTCCCCGGCTGGGATGGGGAAAACACCGCACAGAGGTACGGAGGGTTTCACGGGCAGATACTGGTGCTCTGACAGCGTTTTCTTCCCCGGTAGTCCTTCCTTTCATCAGCACGGCAGAAAAAGAGGCTGCTGCAAGCCCCACATTGACAGCGGTCATTCAAACTGCTGCTGGGAGAGTGTGACGGGCTGTAGCTGTAGCGTTCAGGCTGTAGCAGACGGTGCCGTGGCCGTGCTGTTTGTTCAGCTTGTTTCCCGGCTGAGAGGCGCGCACCCAGCCGCACGCCGACGGCTCCGCTGGTCACACTTGCGCTCTTTGAAGTTCGGGTGTTTGTCGGCACTCGCACCCCCGGCTTTGCTTCTTAAAGCCCACCGAGATAGCGGCTGGGAGTGCTGTGCAGTGCTGCCTTCTCCTCCCGGCCGCTGCCAGAAACAACACGGCCGCTCTGAGCGAGGACGGGTCGGTGTCTGCGCCGTGAGGGGCAGCCCGTGCTGTGCGGCTGCCTTCCCCCAGCGGGCAGGAGGCTCTCCGGGGTGCTGTGTGCGTTAGTACAGAACCTTGGTTGGTAGGGGCAGCCCTGAAACTAAGAGGGAAAAATTAAAATAGGTGCAGCTGTGGCTGGCTCTGACTGAGAGGGTTCGGAGCGCAAAGTGAAACGGGGATGCAGCAGAAACTGGGTTACGTGGCTCTGAGTAAATGCTCTCCCATCAGAGCAGGATTTATTTTACATCACTGCTCTAGTTCTTGTCCTGAGGATGTTTAACTCACTCGGAGCTGTTTGGTCTCCAGGATGGATTCCTACAATTACGTGTTTGTGATTGCGAGCACTGCCACGGGAAGCAGCAGGAGGATATCATTTTGGGAGTGCTGGGAGGCACGGAGGGAGCTGGAGAGCCTTCTCCTGGGCTTCAGCCACTGCTACACTTCGGAGGGAGGCTGCAGAGTGCTTCGGGCCTGACGTGCTTCTGCACTTAGCAGCTTGAATAACAGGGCATCAGATGGGTATTACTGCATCGCTGTAACTTTAAACTTCTTCCACACAGTGACAACGTGCAGCTTGGGGCTGTGCACAGTGCTCACCTCAGGCGTGTTTTCAGAGCGCTCACAGCAGGCAACGAACACGGCCTGCCCGAGGCCCCGTGGCTGCAGGCCTGCAGGGCTGGGCATGGCCTCGCACAGCCCCACGCGCTGCACAACTTCAGTGAGCTGCCCAGCGCCCGCCTGCTGCCCAAGGATGCTCGGAGCACCTCGGTCACACGCTGTGGTGCGGAGCCTGGGGACGCCCGGCTGTGGGAGCCCTGGTTGGGACGAGCCGTGACCGAGGCCGGATCGTGGGCATCTATCTCAGCTATCTGCCTGAGCCCCGCGCCAGATGTGGCTCGAAATCCTCAGATGCCCTCTGCTGCCATGGACCAGAATTAACAGATGGCTCCGTGTAACCGGGTTTAGATTTGCTGAAGTTTTTGCTATTATTTCTGCTTTTGTAAATGGATGGGGGAGGGGAAATAATATCTGGGATTATTACAAAACAGGCAGAGCTTTTTAAAAAGTGTTAAGTCTGGGGCTGGGTCCCTTCTGACTGTGAGTGCCATTGTCCCATATTTCAAAATGTTAACACTATTTTTAGCTTTCTCTTCAGAGCTCCCTCCCCTGATAGCTTATCCCTCTGGATATGAGTTTGGCCCAGCGAGCCGCCTAGGGCACGGCACACTTTGCCCCAGCATTTTGGGCCCCATTGTGTCTGATGGAACCAGCTCTGCTGTCGTGGCCCAGCTCTGCTCGGCCACACACATTCAGCTGCCCGATGTCCCTCTGCTGGCTGGCTTGTGGGGGGTCTGTATCTGAAGTGGGACAGGTGGCACCTATGTCCCACACATGTGCCTGCATCAGTTCTGTGTGCAGTGATACACACAGCAGCCCTGGAACACAACAGATCCTGGAGGAGATCCCATGGCAAGCTCCAAGAATTGAGCGGCTTTGCTGTGCCTGAGCTTTCGCTCTGCCTGAGCTTTTGCTGTTTCTCACAGCAGCTCCTATGAGGAAAAGCCAACCAAACCTTCCCACCTAAGCTCCCAACCTGATTCCCAGTGGAGAGTACCAAGGTGGTCTGTGTCCCCTTTCTATACAGTGCCATAGCCACCTCATGTCCTGGGGCCAGCTGCTTGCTGGGACAGGATGGGATGGGATGGGCATTCCCAGCCATCTACCACTTTTAGCCACACAGTTCTATGCTGCTTGCATTGTTCTAAAGTTTGCTTTGTTTTCTTTTTCTTTCTTTCTTTTTTTTTTAATTTTTTTATTTCTCTACTAGAACATAATCTTGAATTTACAGAAGTCCATGGCAAAATCTGGTTGTGAAGGGGTCTGTTTTCTGCGAGACTATTTGTGAAGACTCCTGGCTCTCTGCCTTTGTGTACAAGGCTGACACATGGCCCATGCATCCTCACTGTGCCCAGCAGCATGCCCACTCCTTCTAGTGCTCTATTGCAGGGATGCACGTAGCCCTCCAGTCGATGGGCTGTATCCCATCACTGTGGCAAACCTGTGGAGCTGTGATAGCTTATAAAACTTGACAGCATGGTCCATTGCATGTATTTTTTCTAAATCCATATTTTTCCAATTTTTTTTCCTGTAGTGGCAAGTTTTTTTCTATCCATCTGGGAGCAGAATCCTGTGCTCAGCGTATGTAAATAACAGCTGTTTCCACTCAATTGCATTTATGTACTTAACACTTCAAAATAGTTTTTTTTCTAGAAGTTTCACAATCTAGTCACCATCCATGCTTAGACAGAGGTACTGGGGAGAGGTTAATGAAACCCCTCTGGACTGGCTGACAAAAGTATACAGCTGCAGCTCTGGAATCCCCACACAGGACGGATTGCTGATGCTGACGGCCATGCTCCGATGCACTGTGGAGGCAACTTCATTCCTGAGGCAGCCTCAGCTCTGGCTTCTGGGGCTGCTGCAGGGGTAGCAGGGTGCCAAGTGAGGAGAGGAGCTGTGCTGGTAGTGCCTTCCAGGCAAAGTTAATTTGTCATGTAGAGCAGCTGAACAGGGGAAAAAATGGCAAGTAATTTAGAGGGAAAAGCTTATCTGCCAGTGTCGCAGATTTTTAAATGCATTAACCTATTGCATCCTGAGAAGAAAGGGAGCTCTTTAATGCTCTGATATATCTTTTGTTGTAATGTCACTAGCTCTGAAATGAAAATACAGCCTTTTTATTTTAAAATGCCTCAATGAAGATTTCAAGAAATTAATGTTCGATTATTATTTTTGTCCAGAAGCCTCATTATTTTCCCAAATGCCTCAACCTGAGCTATTTCATTAGACTTTTGGATCCTCTGAAGGCTCAGGATTACAGAACATTGATATTTAGTTACCCTTCATTCACTCCATTTACTCTGATGCAGACCGCTGAGAGCTGTGTGTTCCTAAATCCGGGCTGTTTTTTATGTTACTGTATTTTTTATTTTGCTTATTCAGAAGAAAAATACTTTGATGTTTACTGCCGTCTCAACTGGAACACCTGTGAACAGGGCAGGACCATGCTGAGGACTCAAGCTGTGCGGAGGGAGCAATAACTGCATGCGAGCTGTTGCTTTCACACATCCTGACGTGCCTGTGCCAGTGTTTATAAGAGGAGCAAAGAGGACTTGAGCTTGGGTTGTCTGTGAGAACAGCCACCTGCTCCCACAGGGCATGTCTGTACTTCTGTATAAGAGCATTCCTGATGTTACCGCCGTGCCAACGTGGCTCCTCCTGGGCTCCTCCTGCTTCCCCACTCCACAGCACTGCCTGCACTCTGGTGCTCTGTGGGTCCAATGTGGAATGATGCCTTTTTGTGTTTCTTTCAGTTTAGAGTGCCTGAAATGAGGTGAAACAGCTCTGCAGCCTCCGAGAACGGTGCTTCCCTAATGTGAACATGAGGTACACGTGTGTTTTGGGGCGTGGTAATGTCTGAGGGTGAGCAGCCATCTTGGGTTGCTCTGGGCAGAGGCACAAGAAGGCCTGGCCTCGGGAGCAGGCTCTTCACTGCTGGGGGGTCCAGCTGGGAGAGGCTGGGAGAGGGCTGAGGGGTATATGGTGAAGCAGTGTAGGTGCTTAGCAGCCCCAAGCTTGAGCTCGGTGCTCAGGCTCACGGGGACCAGCCTGACTGCCTGCTGCTGGGCCGAGCTGGCTGGGTGTGAGTGGCGCTCTGCAGGTGGTGTGCTTCACTCCTAAGGAAGCACAGGGCTTCTAAGGGGTCATTTCCTCAAGTCACGGGTTAAAATCCCAGCCATGTTGAAGCAACACAGCCAGCAGCTCGAGGGCCAGGACCAGCCAAGCAGTGTTGGGGTGCTCACCACTGCCACCTGCCTCAGGGCTGCCCACACCCTCCCTCCTTCACAGGCGGTGCCCCAACCACTGTCACCGCGTCGCCTTTCAGCCACCATTGGCCTCTTTGGGCTTCATTTCAAGTCTTTTTTTTTTTTTTTTTAATAAAACAAATACAGCTGTATAAAGTCAATGAATTTTAACCCGCAGGGCCAACACAACACACGTGGAGTGTTTGCTGCAGTAGATTTGAACATACAAATACATGCTCTAGGAAGAGAAGTGCTGGGCCATTTTTCTTATTCTCCCTGTATGGCGAGCACTTTGCTTGCACTGTGTGTGCCTTTCCCCTTGATCAGAAATCCTTTTTCTTAACCAATTTCTAAAATCCATGGAACTCGTTGCCACGGTCAGTTTCCCCATCACTAAATGCAAGATTTTAACGGCATAAAAAATGGGATGGGAGTAAGATAGTTTTATAAAGATGTAAGGTATTCATAGAAAACAACAAGCAAATCCTGACATCAAAGTGGGGACATGATTTAGTGATGAAATACTGGTGGTAGCGGGATGGTTGGACTGGATGATCTTGGAGGTCTTTTCCAACCTCGGTGATTCTATGATTCTAAGTAAGGACTAAAAAATATAGAATAACCAAAAAGTTGAGAGGGAATATGAACTTTTATATTACCATAAACAAATGTAAACAAGCAGACCTTTTTTTTTCCTGGAATTACTGTATTGACTGGAAGCCTCAGAGTGCCTTAATGAAAGCAGAAGAGCATGTCTGCAGCACAGCCATTTTGTTATTTGTTGTTTGTGTCTTGTGTAGCTACCTGGAGGTAACAGAGAATCATGGGCTCATCAGAAGAGGGAGTATAGAGATGCATAAAATAAGCACCTCTTGTTTATTCAGAATAAATAGAATGAAAGAAAAAAAGATTAACAGCTTCACTATAACTTTTAGTATTGGAGAGCTGATGAAACAAAAGGAGGTGAGAGATTAAAATCCTATACACGGTTATTAAGCATGTGCATTACTGCATGCAGAGAACAAAAACCAGGAAGTTAGAAAGCTGTTGCAGTGAAGGCAAAACACATTGCTTCATTTGCTTAGCAAGAGAAAACTGCTTAGTCTTTAAAATATTTTGCTGACTTTCTCATCTCTTCATTCAGGACTTCTGTATATGGACTACATGCTACTAAAGCTTAGCAGGAACAGCAAAAAAGAAGTCTTCACCTTTAAGCAGAGTACTTCTGTATTTCTGTCTCTGCTCTCAAACTGTTGCCCTACCCTCCCAACTCAACCAACCAAAAAATAATTTCCAAACACAATAAAACTACCTTTATTTGCTATGAAATAGATATCTAAATCTCTACTAAGCTCCTCCTCCCTTCACAGAAGAGAGAAAAGCACCTCCAGAAAACAATGTGTGGCTTATTCCAACCTTTTAATAGGATTTACTGCCTTGTTGAGGTACTTTGTATGCGTGCCTATTGACTATAAGGTGAGTCTATGACAGGTAACTCAGATTTACATGTCTAATTAGTAGTTGCCTCAGTGTTACGAAACAAATCTAGCTCTTACATATTATAGGTATACAATTAGTCTGAACTTCATTCTTATGAAAACTGGGCTCTGAGTCAATTTATTCTACAGTAGTAATAAAGTGAGACACACATCCTCCATTACAGGAGAGGAAAGCAGCCTGCACAGCCTATGTCTGCTTGTTCATGTAATTTTGTACTATTTTTCACGATGGAATGAGCACATGGGAAATTGTAACAGTGCACCATGAAAACTGGAATAACTGAGGAAGCACTGAAGTCAAACATAAATTCCTATTGTGATACATTATAGAGCTGCAGCAGAGATGTAGTGGAGGCACAGTAGAATTTGAAGATGTCAGGTGAAATCCAGGCCCTCCCAACAGCCAGCTTTTCCATGGGGCTGAATAGGGGTAGGGGGATGGGGTGGCTAACCACTCCCTCCATTCTTGTCCCGAGGAGCTTGAGCACACAGACATGAAACTCGTCAAATGGGCCCATTTGGCAGCGCTGTACTATTGACTCAATTTTTCAAAACCACAAGGGTTGGGTGTTTTTGTTGTTGTTGAATATGTATGAAGAAAGATGCAACTCTGATACATTAGAAAAGTCAAATAGTTCAAAGCAAACAAGAAAGTGCTAGAAAAGAACCTTTGACCCTTTGAATCCAAGCACTTTCAGACCTCCCAGGAAATCTCTTATTCGTCAGTACTTGCAAATTTAATTAAGTAACAGCTGGCGCGTGTCTCTCATAGTGTTAAGTCCCACCGTCTACGGCTTCGAACAAATCCAGGAGAGCCACTGTGCAAGGTTGCCTCCCGGTGGTGGTACCACGAACCTGCAGAATGACACAAGCTGCACACAGAAAAGGCAAAAAACCCGTATGAAAGGAACGCTTCCTTTTTGAATTCAGGTCTACGTAGAGTAAGTGGAAAATTTCAGTGTGATTTTAACGGCCTGAATTGAGGACAAACCTTTTGATACGCGACCGAAGCACAGCTTTCTAGTGGAATAGAATACTAACAAGGAAAGCTCAGAGACTTTCAGAATGTGAAAAAAAAGCTAAAAATCAGTAAGCTGTACCCAATTGCACACTATCCGCAGCAGTGAGCCTCCTGAAGTCTGAAACAATAGCTATTAAGCACAAGGGAAATGGCTGAGTGCCTTAAGTTGGATACAAAAGCACTACAGCAGATTTCCCATTCTACCAATTCTATGTAACTCAGATTTTCAATTACAAAGTTAGCAACAAGAGGAGAAAAGACAACAGAAAGTCCCAAACTACCTTTCAAATTGATTGTTCTTTTAGGTAAAAGCAGGAAAAGACTCCAGCAGATGGATTTCCAATTCCAAGTCTTCAAGTAAAGAGAAACACACAGTTAAAGACAGCTTTATGTAGCTGTTCAAGATGATGAAAGCCAGGAGGACAACTTGAAATGACTGTGGGAATAGGAGTTTAGTTGGGTCACGCTTCAGATGACCCAGACGAAAGATTTAGTGTAAGAAAACAGAAATATTGGCAGCGTAGTGCAGGGAAGGATTTTAAAACACCCATTTTATGGATTAACGTAACAACAAATTGGCAGAGGGTACATGCAGTGAGTGTTTCAGACTCATTCAGTTCCCAGTAACTGCTCAGAAGAGGAAGTGCTTTAAATCAGATAGCAGTCTCACACACAACAGATTTTTAGTGCTCCAAATACCTAAGGAGTGTTCAAAAACATTTGGGAAAAAGTGAGAAATGTAACAACATTTCTGCAGCGACTGCAGATGATGAAGCATCAAGTTTGACAGACAAGGACAGACAAACGCAGTAGTACTGCGATGGCAAAAGGCATCTGCAAAGGAAAATGTCTTAACAGCATTATGCAGGCGTAAGCAAGAATTTGTTTGGGGGGGAGGATAAATATTTGAAAGCTGAACCCAAGAAAGAACATCTTTTTTTAAATTGGAATGAAACCAGGCAGACAATTTAGGTCTCAGCTTTCCGAAAATAATGGTGGTTGTTTTACATGGTGGATTATAACAAAACAATGAGCGATGGATAGATAGATAGATAGATAGATAGATAGATAGATAGATAGATAGATAGATAGATAGATAGATAGATAGATGTAAGCCTCTCACCTATGGACCTATGTCAGTAACAGTCACCACAAACTGATGCAAATAATAAAATTTATTACTAACATTTTTTTTAGTAATTACTATTACTAAATTTTTTTAATTCCTAAAACCCTTCAAAAAAGTCGTACTATGGGCAGAAAAATTACTTTTGTTCAACTGGATTTGCAGAGTAAGCAGACATCCTTTCCAGAAACACAACAAACATTCCTTCATGACAGAGTGCTTGATGACACACTGTATCACACAAAGCCAGAATCGCTGTGCTGACGTAGGATTACACATGGCATCAGATTAACATACAAGCGTAGCAGCGCTATTTCATGCTATCCCAGGATAAATCATGATGGGCTAACTGGCCTTACATGTTAAAAATAACACCCATCAAATACTCAGACTAGCCTGTCGCAGCTGACATTAACTTCACACAAAGTGTTCAGGAAAAACAAACTGTTTAGAAAAAAGCAGATGCACTTCACACTGAAATGACCAGAATTAGACTTTATACGGTACTCACCTTCTAGCAAGACATATGGATAACACAAACTGGCAAAATGACACCAGATGAATGGAAGAAACAAGTACCTCCCTGTCTTATCCAAGTTGCCTTGGAAAGGAAGTATGATCAGAATGTATGACGTTTGGGATTTTTCCCCCATCGTTATTTATTTAGATGTGCAAAGATAACAGTAATGTTACTGGATCTCTGTGGGGGCACAACGTCCCAAGATGGCACTTTCTGTCAGAAGGCTGATGCCTAAAACTGAAGGCTGGAGAAAATAATTTCACATTTCTGAGAAAAACGGTAGGTGACAATATTTTATTAGCAGAAACGTTTAAGCACTGCAAGGTGCTATGAAGCAGATTAAAATCACGTTTCTTGAATTTAAAGCATCTGAAGGACCAGTCCTTCCCCCTTGGTAAGCTGGAAAGAGTCGGTATCTTCACTAAATGATTGCTGGGCTAAAGAACTATTCCTCCCTGAGCTACACCTATTTATAGGAACATACATAGCATCCTCACTGAACAAGTTAGGATGAATTTAAAATCAAAAATAACAACAGAAGTGTACACAAATATCTCAAATATTTGCAAATGCCGAATGATCAAAGAGTGAGTGATGCCTCGGAAGCTGAAGTTTAACTGAGTCATCCAACTTTCAGTATAAGAAAAGAGCCTTAAATTCTTTAAACCTCAGTATTCAAAGCTCATCTGCATTCTAAGTATTAGATTTCTAAAATAAGAAACCACAGCACGTGCAGTTCTAGAACTCCCACTCTGAAATACTGCTTCTATGTGCTGACTTTATAAGCCTCTGACCTAGTTTAATCAGAGCACTCCATCATCTGGTACATCCAGATCTAAGGCCGGCACATTCTCTGACCCTACAGGCACAATATTCTTCAGAGCCTTTATGTCATCAGTGCACTTCTGTTGTTTTTCTATTATCAACTAACTGTAACAGGACAAATCAAATTTAGTTAAGCCCGGTTTCGTTAAAACACACACATGTGGAACAGAAAAACATTTCTGTATTTTTTTTTATTTCAAATAAGGATCAATAACAACATGCTCATGAGCAAGAAGTCATCTTAATTATCTCTCTTTAGGAGGATTAGGATTCTTCCGTCTTCTCTGATACCTAGAAGATAAAAAAAAATGCTGCTGTGAATGTAAGTTTTGGAAAAATCTTTGACTTTCCTGACCTTCTTCCCTCCAGAAGCAGTTTGGAGGTTACACAAGTAAGCAAAATGTAATACACACAAACACAGCCCATGACCATTCATTAGCTGCCATCTCTGTTGTTCGTGAAGTTACACAACACTGCTCATTGCTGCTGCACATCTGCTGCAAGCACGCAATAATCCATTCAGCTGTAGAGCCAACTGTAGATACAAAGGCTGCTTTTTACTCTTAATCCTTTGTGTGAGATTAATTTCACTGTATAGTCAGGGCTTCCTCTGACCAAAATGACTGCTACAGAATAATCAGGGGTACAAGAAGGAGTTATGTCAGACCTTACTTTAAATAGTGTAATATTCTGCAGTCATATCATTCAAAAAAATTCTTCACAGCAAAGAAAGATAAACTGCATCCCTACTTTCTTAATTAGCCACCCTTAAACAAGGGAAATACAGTACGATACTCATTAAGTGACAACTACCCTCTGGCCATAGGGAGCTCTACCATTTGTTTTCTTCACTTGTTCACAAAACATAACAATTAAAAAGGTTTGCAGTGTATCAAGTTTCTATAGCTATGAAATCAGCAATTACCATACAATGTAATAATACAGACTGGAGCGGAGCTGCACAAACTAAAATGCTACTTGTTTCCAGTGGTGTACCTCAACACACAGAGTTTCTCCTTAAGCTCAGTCAGGCATGTTACATCTCTTCTCCTTACAGCTTTCTGAATACAAAGTGCACCAAGGTACACTTCTCATCATTTCAAATGAAATTTGAAAACCTTTTTTTTTTTGTTAAGTCTGATAATTACATGGTTTCAAGCTGTATTGGCTATATTCACTCAGAGTGTGATTTCACTTATGCAATTTTAGCAAATCACGTGGAGCAGCAGCTAATTACACAATATGAGAAATTTCTACTCCATGGTATTTTACCAATCAAGTTGCAAAGGCTATGGAAGGGGCAGAATTTTTAAAAAACAAGATAATACAGTCTTCCATTTACACGACATTGCATTTAGAACTCTATGTAATAGCCCACGTGCTAAGAGTATTTCATAGGATGAGTTTGGATAAATTACAATCATGCCTGTGTTTCTCTTTATGCCCAAAAGGAACACACACTGAAAAAAAAGAAAACTTACTGTCCCACAGGGTACCACCGATGTTTTGTAGTGTAAAACATTTTGCTGAGCTTTTCAATTCTAAGTCCTCTATCATTCTTTAGCTCTTCTTCATTCAATCTGGATTTTAAAATTTGATCTAGAGTTTCTTCTTTGTTATTCACCGGATCTGGTCGCGGCACGGGCTACAAAAACAAGAATGTAAATTTCCCCTTTAGGAAGAACACTCAAGCTGCACTGATAACATTACTGTTTACTCTTTAAAGCTGAGAACAAAAGAACTAAAAAAAGAAAGCATCATAAAAGGCTCCCTCCCTTCTCAATCAAAACCACATCACTCTGGGGAGGAATTCCAGAAACATCTCATTACTGCAGGTGCTACGGCTGATTACTGTGTCCCACTGTCAGTGCTACTGCTGAGCTCTCATACTTACAACCCACTAGCTGAACCATAAGCATCAATTTACTAACATAAAATACTCACATTATTGCTATTTACACATTTGTTCATACTGACGACCACCATTTTATCATACTAAGTTTTTAAGTTCTTATTGAAAGTTTTCCTGTGAAGTTTATGAACTCAGAGTTGAATGGAGTTTAAAATAACAGCACTTCTTCATGTCCCCCATGCTGCTGCAACTGAACACAGCAGGATGTACGAGCTATCGCCCAGATTTCCAACACCTTCTCTGAGGAGCATGCTCTTAGACAAACACTGCTTTTCTCTGTAGTGCACAACTATTTGAGTACCTCACTTAATTCACTTTGAGCAATGCTGTAAGAACCTGAGCATTTATTTGCCTGTAGCTTTCTGTCACTTCAGCTAAAAGTCCTTCTTAGAGCAGCAGCTATACTCATCACTCACTTCACAGATATGCTGCTCGTGGAAAGAACAGTAGCTCTGTATTTCAAACTGCAAGAAAAAACAAACAGTTGTCCTGAAGACTCAGAACTTCCTATGCTTTTACATGACTAAGCAATGTGTACCGTTGGACATACTTGTGTGTGCTCGTATGGAATCTCGAGTGAAGGGTGGTAGCAGACAATTGTCTTCGAATCTGATGTCAAGGCAAGTTCCACTTTGCTATGAAAATAAAAAGTGACATTATTACAATCCCTTACAATTTCCAGAAATGCTGACTGACTGAGCAGCCCAATTCCCAAAGAAAACCCGATTTCATCCTCTATTTATGAATTCTTTGTAAATCTTCTATCAAATAAAACCTGAAAAAATAAGGCTCACAAGTACTCGATCTGAACTTCTTTCTTCCCCCAACTATTTCATCTTTCTTCTTTTTTTTTTTTTTTTTTTTTTTTGATGGAAGAGAACAAAGGGATACAATGGAGCTGTACAGACAGCTGGAAATGTGGCTTGGAAAAGCCATAGGACACTGAAGAATCACATTAAAACTAACAGCAGGTAATGAATGTCAGCGATATCTACAACGTGCCTTTATAAGAAGTGTGGTACCACTAAGAGAAAGAATAGGAAATAAAGCTCCAGGTTCCATCATTTGACAAATGATGGTAAGCATGATAAACAAGTTCTACTGACAAGTTCCTTGAGGGACTACAGCTTTTCTCACCTTATTTCCCTGTTAACTTCTGTGACACATTAGCTTCCAAAAAACTTCTGCAGTGCACATGTTGCAATTCTCATTATATTTTTATCATCTTTTCCAGTTTCTACTGCAGTTTCCCATGCAGCAGCACAAAATTACCTGGGCTTTGTCTTAACAATAAGTATCTGTGAAAGCGAGTGCTCTTTCTTTAGCTCTTCCACAATTAAAACCGAAGTGCTCCTGGGGTCATCATCACATTTAGAATGAGTCATGCATGACTGTTCATTCTGCTCATTTTTGAAACAGTAGCTTCACAATCATTATGACTGGAAACAGTACTTCGCTTTAAATTATTATGCATCTATATCCAAAAGTGGCAGAAGGTGTGTTTGATACCATCAGATGACAACGTGATGGCAGAGCCAGTAACATGCAACATACATCACATGAGAAGGCCACACAGGGCACGCTGACGTACCAGTTGTAGTCTTCAGGGAGCACTGAGTACGTCGATTTACGACAAGCATGACATACAGCTCCAACTGCAAGGAAAGAAAACACAAACAAGTATAAAACACTGTCTAAATAGAAGCTCACTTTACATGAAGATTTCTAGTGCTATCAAAAATGCAGCATTTACGTAGCTATGTCCTACTTTTGTATTTCCATTGTACTGTATTCCTAAAGAAAAAAACACAGCTTGAACAAAACACTGTTATACCTTTATAAATACATTAACAAAATAGACCCATTTTGAGGTCATATAGTATTGAAAGGGCAAAGAACATCATCATACGATTTACAGGGAAGATTATCTGATTTTTCCTTTAATTCATAGTAACAGTCACTGTTAAAATGAATTTTTGCTTTGCTGAAGCGTGGTGTATATGCTATACAAAACTATAATGCTTTGGCTGCTCTAACACTAGAGAACTCAATTCCTTCCACAAGTTCCTGTTACTCCAAGGAAAGCAATCACAAGAATTACAAGTAGTAAAGGCCACCAGCATACTGGACTATATTAGCAAACAGACCAAGGGAAGAGATTCTCACCCTGCACTCAGCATTCACATCTTGATATTGTGGCCACTTTGGGCCCTTTCAGTAAAAGTGAAATGGAATAAATGCTGTGAATGCCCACCACAATGGCTTTTAGTTGCAACATCTGCCCTGTGAGGAGAGACTGAGGGACCAAGGCTGTTTCAAACGTTTAAGCCACAGTTCTGGAGAGACCTGACAACAGACCCCAGAGGTCATAAAGGTTCGAGTGACTGAGCAGGGGGAGCCAGGCTGCTTAGAGCACTATGTGGTGGGAGGACAAAAAACACTGAAGTAAGTTGAAACAAGAGAGGCTCTGACTAGACAGAGAAAACTTTTCCCCTTGAAGGTAATCAGGGAACAGGGAGTTTGCGCTGTCTTTCATCTGGGCAGATTTGTCCCAGAAGGACAGAATCCTGAGCATCCTGGAATCGATGCACAGCTGAGCCTACATTGAGAGAAGGTTTGACCCGAGGAAATCACCCAAGGACCCCTCCAAATGAGCCTTCCCATGATTCCACTGCATAAGGTGATAAACAGCAACAGTACTTTTTATAGGAACTGTACCATAGGCATTTTGCTTTCTACAAGCCATAAATGGTATTCTTAGCAGCCCAAGATGGATGTGGAGACAAATTCAGTGCAGTAAAGCTGGGAAGATTCAAAGAACCAAGGGGAAACTTTTCTGCAGATGTTTTCCTTTTAGAAGTATTTTCATGTGTTAAATTCTAAAATTCAAACACAAGTTTATCTAGAAATTGAGATGTATTTCAGAATTTAAAATTCTACATTTATATGTTGATCAGCACCATCATGCTTCAGTTTTCCCAAATAAACTCATCTTTACTTATAAAGATGTCAAACCTTTATAACACAGATCTTTAAAGTCCCTTTCAACCTAAGCCACTCCATGATTCTACAGAGTATAATAAAGAAGCTCTCAAAGAATAAATGCTAATATAGGATTTCAATTCCATATCCCTTACCTCGTAGTGGGACTTGCTTACAAGCAGCTACTGAACGCATCCAGAGACAGCTGGACCACACAGCCCTAAGTGATGTTGCCATGCTGAGAGCAGATGGGAAACCAGTCCTGGACAAGATGGAACTGGAACAGACACAGTATCTTTTTGGTTCCAGAACACCCTCTGAAAAAGACCAGTTTCGTAACTGTTTGGGTTACAGAGATAGACGATTTAGTCTCCTAGCTTAAGAACAAACAGAATTTGTTCAGTATGTTACTTGTTGTCAGTTTTTGGTAAGTCTTTATGATTTAAGATAAAGGCATCTGTCTCTGAAAAAGTCAAATATGGGACAAAACTTCATTAGTAAGAAGTTCTCTCTTAAGTAGCTTCACTTACTGAACAACCTCACTCACCCCAGAAAAACAACTTTCCAAGCTTGGGTCCTTCCTCAGCTCAGTTTTGCTGCTAGTGCCCACACATGCACCACTTCTGTATCCTTCACAGAATCACAGAATGGCCAGGGTTGGAAGGGACCTCAAGGATCATGAATCTCAACCCTCCTGCCACACGCAGGGCCACCAACCTCCCCATTTCATACTAGACCAGGCTGCCCAGGACCCCATCCAACCTGGCCTTGAACACCTCCAGGGACAGCGCATCTACAACCTCTCTGGGCAGCCTGTTCCAGCACCTCACCACTCTCACAGTAAAGAACTTTCCCCTGATATCCAACCTAAATACTCCCTACCTCAGCTTAGAACTATTTCCCCTTGTTCTGCAGTTGTCAACCCTTTCAAAGAGTTGATTCCCCTTCTGTCTGTAGGCTCCCTTTGGGTACTGAAAGGCTGCAGTGAGGTCACCCTGCAGCCTTCTTTTCTCCAGGCTGAACAAGCCCAGCTCCCTGAGCCTGTCTTCACAGGGGAGGTGCTTCAGTCCCCTGATCATCTTTGTGGCCCTCCTCTGGACCCTCTCCAACAGTTACTTCCTCTTTTTTCTGCAAGCTCCATGGAACTATTCCTGACATGTGATTTTCCTTTCACAACATACACAAGCCTGTTCCAAAAGTAATGCCTCCTATTCTATTACGTTGGCCCATAACATCAAAAGTAAATGCTGATGGTGTGTCAGTACAGGTTGAACCTTCCCACCAGCATTCTGTTACATTTTGTTGCCTTGTGACAAATGGCAGCAGAGGGGCAGTATGACAGAATGGTGTCTAACATGGAAGTGCACATGAAGCAAAGGTGCACCACCAAATTCCTCCATGGGGAAAAAACTGCACTCACTGACATTCATTAATATGTGCTGAGTGTTGATGGAGATCAAACAGCAGATGTGAGTACAGTGAGAAGGTGGGTGGTGTATTTCAGCAGTGGTGACTGAGACAAGAAAGACAAGCCATATTTTGGACACCCATAAAGATTTTTACAAGTGTGGGTAAGCAGGTTTTTATTCACTGTTAGCAAAAATGCACTACTAATGGTGGTGACTGCATTGTCGTAGCTGAGAATCTGCTCTATCAAATAACATCGTTGAAACCATTGTAGTTTCCACAGAAAAAGGTTAGGAAGCATTACGTTCAGCGTGACTCTTAAGTAAATCTTGGAGTCAACAAACTACCTAGATGCAAAACATAACTGGGGACAGCAAAACGACATGCTAGTTAACAGAAAAAAATATATATAAATAAACAAAAAAAATCATTCAGCGCTTCAGAACGCCTCCACAGCGTGCGGTCGGCAGCCCCTACCCGCTTCCCACCCGTTTACCCACCAGGAGTGCCGCTGCCGCAAAGCCCCATGCACCTCTCGTGCCCCGCTCTGGCCGCTACCGGGGAAGAGGCGAGACGCTGCTAGAGGGCCCCGCGCACACAGCCCGGGACAAAGAACGTCTATCTACAGATATAACGTGCTTATCTACAGAAAGCATTGATCTGAAAGAGAATCAGTCCCTAATCCATCACGGCAAACAAGAGTGCCCGTTGTAAAAGCCGACCTGCAGAGCACTACATACCAACGGAACGCCTTCATCCCTCAGTACGCAGCTCCGGCCGCGAAGACAAGCACTGCACCAATACGAACCCCCTTCTCCTTCGGCACTGACAGCAGCGCCCTTCCGCTTCCGGCGCCTTTCTGCTTCCGGTGTCCTTACACATCCGGTGTACTCCACCCGCTTCCGGTATACTTCCTCTTCCGGTGCACGCCCCGCGGCCCGCTGGGAGGTGTAGTCCGGTAGTTCCCTGGTGCTTTCGAGTCTCTGGCTACGGTGTACAAGTTTCACGTAGCAACCAGTGGAAGCCTCCCAGTTTCAGCAGCATCTCGCTTTGTCCTGCAGTTGTGGAGCAGGTGGTGACACTGCCAGCTTTCTGGAGTCCAGCAGGAGCAGAGCCAAGAGCTGAGCATTCCCACCGATCATTCCCATTAGCAGTGGCAAACATTCATTTTCAGATGTTTTCCATGTCAGTTTCCCCTCTGCTCAGCTCTTGTGAGGCCCCATCTGCAGTACTGTGTCCAGGCCTGGGGCCTCCCCTACAGGAAGGACGTGGAGCTCTTGGAGTGGGTCCAGAGGAGGGCACTAAGATGATCAGAGGGCTGGCGAACCTCTCCTGTGAGGAAAGGTTGAGGGAACTGGGCTTGTTTAGCTTGGAGAAGAGAAGGCTCTGGAGAGACCTCATTGTGAC